GTAGACATACAAATGTGTTTTTGTATTTGAACTCTATGGTCCCCTAAATTCTCCCTGGCTTTTTAAAGTCATCACTGGGGTGCTACCTCCAGAGTGCCCCAAAGCATCCACCACTGCCTGTTCTTCGGACACTGTGAGTTTCCAAGTTGGAGAAGGCTGCTGGCTGGTGAGGCATTCTTTGGCACATCTCTGGTTGGCTGATGTGAGCTTAGCACCCAAGACTTGGCAGGCAGTAACTAACCACGATCACGTCCATTTCTGGAACACTCATGGAGGTTTTTACACCTATGCTAGTGGCATACATTATTTCAATTAGTTTTCCCAACAATCATAATTAGATTTTATCACCTGTGTTAATAAATAAACTGTCAAAGCGAGTGAAGTGCAGGCTTTGGACTGGAACACGGGTCTTTCTGATAACTGTCTCTGTTCCCTCCCCGGCCTATCCTTCCAGATGGCCAGGAGACACTTCCTCAGTCTTGAGTTTCCGGCTGATGTTACCACTCTCTTTGTTTCTAGGAGAGGAAAACAAGTCTAAACTTACTTTCCGGTTGCAAATGAAATGGAGCGATAACGTTGGAAGCCGGGAGAGTCTGTCCAGCGATGAAGTGGTCTCCGAGCCACTTCCACTGGGATGTCACGTCACTGTCTGAGCCCCTTGCACAGCCTGTGCACAGGTGACAGCACAGATGTTCCGAGCAGTCCTCCCGGACAGGGCAGTGGGTTGGAAATGAGTGGGGATTTGGTTTCATTACATAGCTTCCTGAGGGACTTGGCCTGGCATTTCGAGTGGGAGCATTCCCTGTCCCACAGACTCATGCTGTGGGCCCGTGCAGACCTGACGTGGCCTCAGCCTGAGGCTCAGGGCCCGTGGTGAAGCGGAGCATTTTAGTGCAGGGTCTGCCGGAGGCTCTGACACTTCTGGGCTGTGGGACTTTGTCCAGGATGATAATAATTCCTCCCCGAGTTTCAGATTTCCTTGCCTGTGAGCCGGGGTAGTAATAGTTTCTGAGATGATTGTAATGATTCAGTAACGGGTGCAGCGTGTGCTGGCAGGTAGCTGGTGTTTAAGGAGCAGAAGTCGCAGTCACTCTGTCAGCCTCTCCCTGTGCGCTCTGTGCTTTAAGAGGTTGTGTGTTTGGTGAAAGTCCCGCCCAGACCCTAGGGTCTAGATGAACTGTTGTTCCTTTTCTTTCCCTTCCTTTTCCTCTTTCCCTTCTCTGTGTCCCATGTTTAGGTAGCTGATTCCTCTATTTCAGGGAATACGGGCCTTTCTAGTAAAAGGACAGGCGGAACGCGGAGAGGTGGGGCCCGGAGGGGGTCTGGAGCGTCTGCACAGCGCTGCTTCCCTGCGTTTCTGCATCCGGTCGCGTCAGGGCACTGAGTCAGCCTTCCTCTTCCTTCCTGTGTCATCGGGCCTCTGTTTTAAGGGAAAACTTTTTTACGGGTCTTTTTTTACTGACATGTTTCGTTCAGGTGCTTGTTGCTTTTCTCCCTGTGCTTCAGCGTTCCGAGGAGAGAATTCAGCAGTGCAACCTCCTCTCCGAGCTCTATGAGTTGATCGGCTTCCACTGCAAGTCCGCCTCCTTCAAGCGGGAGGCCCCCGTGCGGCGCGTGGCCCCCGGCATCAAGGAGCCTGGCGGGAAGCCCTGCTACCCACTCCTCCTGCAGACGCTTCCTGGCTACAGTCTGTCGCTGGACCTGCAGGACTTCAGCAAAGG